CATGACTTGCCATCGGTATATTCCCACTTTAAACTCATAGATCGAACAACATTCAAACATCAGCAGTTGGAATGTCAACGTAACTTTTTGGACACAAAAATGTGGAGGATGACTATGAATTAAATTAAGCGACCCAGTTCTTTTAATTCAACATCTCCATTGACTTTGTGCGGAAAGAATTGAGTATTGTACCTCGAGATGACTGTAAGTTTTCTTTTACCTGAACATGAGTGTCCATCCCCAGTAAATCCATCTTTGCAGGTGCAGTTAAAAGAGCCAACAGCATTGGAGCAGTTCGCATTTTCGTCGCAGAAGTTATTATTGCTTTCGCATTCATCTATATCTGATTAAGAAGTTACCGAAAGAAAACATTACACGGAGAAATCATTTAAACAGAAAGGAACGTTTAAGGGGAACCAAACTTTGTGTAAACTGATTATGCTCTTGGTGTAATGCCTTACCTCCCAAGTTCAAAGGAGAATAACAGTGCATCAGTTACCAAATTGTTTCACTCACAACTCAGGAACATGACCTAAGAGGCTCTTAATACGAGTGATCGCTGCTTAAACTAGAACGAGTCTTAAATGATAAATTGAAACGCGGCTGAATGGTTCGGCGCCGTAGCTCGATGCGTCTTGCAGAATTATTATAATTATTATTCATTAGCAAAGAGATGAAATTCATCTGTACAGTTTTGTCCATTTCCAGTATAACCAGGGTGACATTTACATACGTGTGATTCAATGGCGTTTGTACAACTAGCATTCACTTGGCATGAGTGATTTTCTTTACACTCGCCAATATCTGTACAATCGTTTACATAAAAGAGAAAAAAAAATGTATAATTATGAACAATTGAGTTCCGTGGTTTTTCCCTCTAAGTACCCATCTAGTCTGCCTTCTACCAGTTGAAATTATTTACCACTGGCTGTTTCTATAATACATTTGTGTCATTGTCACCATTGTCACCATTTTCTTCAGGCCTATACCGATCTGTATTTTCTTTAAGGCATGCTGGTAAAACGATTCTTTTGAAGATGATAGTACTTTTCTTTTTAATATCAAGGGTTAAAAAAGAAAAGCCAGTATAGTTGCGTCCATTTCCAGTCTATCTGGAGTGACGATTACAACTAAGCAGTCCACTGTTCGTATATGTCAGCATAAATATCTTTTAATCTATCAACATGACAGCTCTGAAGCAAGCTAGACGTAGATCATGGTGACTCTCTGCATAAACCTGCATGGGTAACGCTGCTTGACATGGTGTATCCATCGCCAGTGTGCTCCACTTTACATGCACATTTATAAGAACCATACGTGTTAGTACAGTTTGCATTCACGTCGCAGTCGCTGATTTTATATTTACATTCATCCATATCCAGAGTTTAAAGAGAGAAGTTAGTGACTAAGATAGAGCAAATTGAGAAGGGCATCCACGCTGTCAGTATATCCGGGCTTACATGTGCAAACGTACAATCGGTTGGTGTTCGTGCAGGTAGCATTCACGTGACAAGAGTGATTTCCTTTATATTCGTCAATATCTGAGACACCATAAATATATTTTGCACTTTTTTAAAACTTTTGTCACCTTA